TGATTTTTGGGCAAAACAATTCTGGATTATGTATGTAATTAAATTATAGCCAGTAACTCGGGTTTTATTTAGTAAAATTTAAAGTACAAATCTACTTATAAAATATTATGCTATTGCAGCAGTTCCAGATAATGGACACTAATTGCTTTTACTATGATGCTTATCCTATGTAGATTCTTTCCTTCACTGATGATGAATCACGAATTAAGAGATTTATTAAGTTGGTCAATTTACCTTATACAATATTATGGTAAGTGTATTTAAATATATATATTGTATATATTAATACATTCTAATACATTTAAAAATTTTTTATATCTATATAAATATGATCAAATTGCATTAGTAGAATTTGACAATAAATTAAATCCAGTTGGTAGCATGGTCTTGTTTGATAAGCTAGACTATAATTATGAAAGACATCATACACTGGTATATATTTAGAGTTGTACGTTAAAACTTTATTAAAATAAGAAACATGACACCATTATCAATAGATGGTTTAAAAAACCATTTAAACAATGTGTTGGATTCAATCACAACTCCTAAAGACTAGATCTTGAAACCAAAATAGATTTCAACTTAATTTTATGTACACCAGATAAATGATATAATGGTATTTGGTGCAAATTTTAAAAAAGTATATAAAAATTAATTTTTCATATTCGGCCCATGTCACATAGGATTGGTTTGGTGAATTCGATCAATGTTCGATGGTGACGATTATCTAAAAGTCATCAACAACTAACCGTCTGGATTGTTACAAAGGCTGATTAACTGAAAAATATTCTTTTGTTTTACTTATTTACTTTTTTGAGTTAAGTTGGGACATTTATTACCAGTTTATAAATTTTCCAGACTGGAAAATTTGTATTTGTCCATTAGCGAATAGATGTGTCTATTGTAAGTTAAAAACCTGGAACTTGTGCTAAAATAATTAATTAAAATAACAATAAATTCAAATGCAATTATAAAATCAATCAATACCACAAATTGCACAACACTCAAGTAGTAGTTATCCTTATGTTACCGGTAACTAACTAATCAAATGGGACAGCACTTAAATTTTGGTTTTGACATGATAATTTAATTTGAATTTATATGTTGTTATTATTATTATTATGTGCTTGTTATTTCGAGTTACAAGTTAAAACTTCTTAAAAAAACTTTTATTTTCAAAAGCTATTTATGGATGAAATTAATATCATAATTATGTAAATCAAATTTCTATATAGTTAGGGAGTGAAATTCTTCTAATGTG